CCTATGTGCACCGCAGAAAGTACCACGAGGCATAGTTGGCCCCCTCAACTGCCAGGACACACACTCCCTTCGACACCGGTCGCCATGCACAGCAAACACATGGGTGGGCGTTGTGCAAAGAGGGAGGCAGTGAAGTAGAAGGGGTAGAAGAAAAGAGACAGGATGTTATCAAAGAATGACAATGAACGGTGGGAAAGATCAGGATGACTGGTGAAAGAAGGGAATAGTTGAGAGCTCTCCCTGCATCCCCCCGTCAGGACGTGGACTGACCCACCTCGTCGGAAGCTTCATGTAAAGTACCCCCTAAATTAAAATATCGGTTTCAAATTCAGGGGGCAGCGATCTCGGCCAGATCGATTGGGGAAAATCAGCTGAACGGCTTACCCACTAGCGTTGTTCATAGACAGCCGGTTGGACAGTCGTTTTGTTGTCAATCGAATTTTCGTTAGGAAGGACCCACAAAACATGGATTCTGGCTACACCACGCTACAGAATTTTTTCCAAATTTGGCATCTGGTCTTACCCACATTTTCTTTGCCAGGGGCCTGCAATAACAGTTTTCTGCCGAAAATTCGACGTTTTTTTCGCACAGCATTGCATACCTTTCTCACTAACGCGGATATTTGATGTCTGAAGGTAATCCAATTAAGACTCTAGAAATAATAGTATTATCATTAAATCAATATTATTAAAAAATACAGATATTAAAATACAATAAAACCTAACGCGGAAGCTAGATACGGCGGAAACCTGCCTTCACCCCCCAAAAATATCAGAACGGACTATTTCCCAATGCAACGTACACTGGATAAGACCTAGCCTGCCTAACATTGAAACGAACAGAATTTTTTAGAACTGAAAGCAAATTTCTAAATAAGATTGAAATATTATTTTAAAAATATTCACTCGCAAGTGGGGTAACATCGCACCTCCAGACACTCAGAGCTGTGCTTGTCCGTTAGCTTTCTCAGTTCACCGTGTTTGAACATCGTATTTCCCATGCTACTCGTGCGAAAGCAACCATTTATTTGTAATAGCACTGACCTTCACAATCCCGTGTGAAGGAAGGGGACATGAAGAGTGATCCCTCCACAGTTGATATGATGCGTGCTTTGTGTTCAGTAATTCTAAGAGTTTACAAGTATTCTATTCGACGAGTTGCAGGTGGAAATCAAGCGTTAATGTCAGGCGGCAAATTGAAAACTAACTCTTGATGAGAAAATCAGACTAATTAAAAAACACGAAGAAAGCAACACTTCTGTCGAAGAGGGTTCGTGAAGAAATTTAAAGTTACGAAAACAGTGTAATACACCTTAAAAACGAAGACAAAATCAAGAATGAGTGGTTAAAAGAATTGTTTTAATTTGTAGGTTCCTACAATATTCACGAGGACCTAGGCAAACAGCTGACACCTAAATCCTCTAATTAATTCATCTGTTCTTACAAATATCGAAGAATATAATATTTCTTTGACTTTTTATGGAGTTCTTTGTATCATTTGATTTCAGGTTGCAATTCTAAATGCTGTATTGATATCGATTTTTAAAAAAACACTAACCGTAAAGGGAGAGAAATGGATGTCATTTCCGACAACAGCACACCAATTAATATAGTAGAAACTTCACATGTATTTTTCCACAATTTTGCAATCCTGTGTAATTTAATAATATTGAGTATCTTTCTCATATACCATCACCTTCTCATTTTAGACAATCAAGCATATTCATTTTTAAGTTACTGATGTTTTATTTGCACAAACCACTACATTTTGAAGTCCAATTGATTGCATCATCAGGCGTAGTTATAAAGTTTTTTAAAGTTACAAATTTTTCTTTCATCTTAAAACATAAAATTTAGAATAACATTGTAAAATTACAAGAAATAAGTAGAATTAATCAAAGAAAACATTTGATGCCTTTTTGAGAAAATTGCGTTTGAGCACTTGCAAAAATGTGAAATTTTGAGCTAGTTTTCACAGAAAACGGTTTTCAGGAAACTCGACCACATACCTCTTTTCTGGTGGGAAAACTGGCACAATATTGTTCAAAATTTAATTACAACCATTGGAATGCAGCAAGAAGAATACTCTTGTTACCTAAATGCGACATCACATATTATCTGATGAAATATAACCTAATGGCATTCTGCGGCGCAGATTGGGCAAGCTGTGCAACTGATCGAAAGAGCATTAATGGTTATGTTCTCATAATGGCAGGAGGTCCAGTTATTTGGGGGAGTACAAAACTGTGTGGCAGAACTCAGCACAATAGAGGCTGATATGTGGCTCTTGTTCACTGCATAAGAAAAGCATTCTGGGTAAAAGAATTTTTAAATCTCTTTATGATTAAATCTCTTTATATCTCTTAGATGCCAAACTGACGACAATCCATTGTGATAGTCAAGCAGCCATCGCTCATGCTAAGAATTACATAGATAAATTGACAACCAAACACATTGCTATTAGGCATCATTTTGTCAGAGCAAACGAAACCATGATGTTGGAGACTCAATGAATTCCATCAAAATCAACTTATAGATAAAGTTACAAAACAATCATCCATTGAATTACTGATCATTTCAAGAGGGGGATTGTAGAGAATTAGTCATCTGAAGCTCGGTATCAGTTATAAAGTTACAGTAATAGATCTCATGTGCTCTGTGTTCACAAAATGCTTGTCATTATATGAAAAACATTCTGTAAAGTTGATAAATACTTTCCATCCTTAATCTTGAAACATTTGTATTATTTATATTCCCGAACCAAAAATAATCAAATTTGCTTTCTTGGGACTGGAATTTTCTTGTAGGCATTCTTAGCTTTTACAGTTTCTTCAAGATTCTCTGTCAAGATTTTGATGTTTCTTCTACTAAAGTTTTATACCAGTAGGCAACGGCTTCTTCTGTTTCTGCCTGCACATATCTTTGTATATTTGCCCATTCTTCTATCTCAATGCTTGGTAAATTCATTGTCATGATGGTTAATACAATTTTTATAAAAGTATGTTATACTCTCATCTTTTGATAAGTTTACTTTATAAGTTACTCGATTATCCTGAACATTTCCTTTTCTACTCATTCTTGTCCATAGATCAATGATCGTCACTGTTGCTCATACCAGAAAAAGGTCAGAATTAATATCTTCTCCTATGTACCACATTTAACATTTCTTGTTTTTATTTACAATAATAAAAACAATAAGGCTATGTTTCTCTTGCTGCTCAGGTAAATTTATTAATATCTTTCTTCCATAAGAATGTGCTTGTAATTTTTTACCTTATTGTAAACACAGAATTCAATTAACCTTTGTCTATTATTAACTATTGTTTCACCAAAGGTACTCACAACATCAAACACTGGCGGTGAGCCTACTCTTACAGCAAGATCTTCGGCAATTATGACAATCACTTTTATTTGTGTTTATCACATTTGACATATCTTTGTAGTATGCTTCACTATTTTAATTTCTACCTTCTTCCAGATCATGGAGGAGTCTTGTGGAATGAGATGCCTAACAGGGTCATCCTACCTAGCTATGCCATTTTTCCCAATAACTAGGGTTGACCCCACCTGCCATTACAGTGTTTGCCTTTGATACTGCACGCATTCTGCATCAATGTAGCTGGCTGAACTGCACCCTAAAATAACTGTGACATGCTTCAGCGTTTTGATTTATAAAACGACAAACAAGTCATAAGTTCCCTCCATACATTCAATATCACAGTTTTATTACTACAGCATTCTGAACGGAAATTTCACAACCAGATATTTTGTTTGCCCGCTAATACCCAAGCCTGTTCAACCCTGCTCTGTCTCAGTCAGTCTGAAAGGATTCCCAATGGGTGTTTAAATATTATGTTAAAGATATAATTGACAATAAATATAAATTAGCAACGACTGGCATTTAATCACTATTGCTTCTTTAGAAAATGCATTGAATAACATGGCATGATGCATTATGACAACCATATTATATGCAAGAAAAAAAGGACTAGTTTATTACGTACAAGTTATCACAGTATGCGCATTATTAACAAACTAAACATGAGATTTCATTTACGATGCTGATAAACCTGGAACAGAATCAATTGGTTATGAAACTGCTCACAATTAAAATAGATAGTAACGCAGTATTACATTGCCATGAAAATACAAAAGTGGATGCTAGAAATAAGCCCCTAAAGTTTTATTATGTTAAGAGTTGAAAAGGGAAATGAAAATGTAATTCTGCAATGTGAGAAATCAGAGCCAGAAAGCTGATATGTCGAAACTCTTAATTAGCAATGAAATGAGAAAGCATTTATCTTTCATGAATATAATTTTATATTCTTAATACTTGTAATTGCTTCTATTATTGTTTATGTTCATATTCAAAACATCATTTGGTTTGCGTGATGAGAAGCGGAAAGAGAAGACTTGAAGATGCAGAAATGGACAAGAACGTGAAAAACTGACAGATTCTACAAACAGGGAATTTTTATAGTACAGCAAGGCTGAGTCGGGAGGTTGTCCTCGTGTCATGTAAAATACATTACCGGGTGTAAAACATGAAAGGAGTAGTTAAAGAATAGAACAAAGAAACAAACAGGTTTAAACATGATATGTGAAACTATAATTTGACAATAAATAAGTTGTTCCTTTGATTATAAATTAATAATTAATAACTTCTAAAGAAAGCTGTGAGCTTCATTAAAAAGTGAAGATAATATTTTTTATCACTACCTAATGAAGAAAAACAGAATTATGGAGGATTACAATGGATAAAAATTGACTAATGAACTAAAAATATTTACTTTAAAACTAGTACCTCTACGCACAAATCATGTTTAGTTTGGAATCATTTAAAATACATGCATGAATTTGGGAACAAAATAATCAATACAGAAACAACACTTGATGAAAATAAGAATTGATTCTTACGCAATCAAAGAATAACATTAATAAAACCATAACACAGCTTTAACAAAAATTGAATTTCTTACAAACTACTTTTTGTTCTTAACTTACATGAAAGTAAGGACTACTTGCAGATAAAACCAGCCTATGAGCTTTCAGGTTCTGACCTTCAGCAGATATAGTGCAATCAACCAAAAAATTGCTCTCCAATAATCTTTTATAAACAGTTGCAAGTTCACTAGTGTGTTCTTTCCAAGAAACTGAAAAAATTGATTCAGTCATGTTTAAATTGCCCTGAAACAATTCAAAAACCATATTTATAGAAACCAATAAAAGAAAGTAAATGAAACACCTATCTCTTAATAAAAGTTTCTATTTTTACTACTAGACAATCACAGAATATTCTATTGCATACAGTGATATTTGTCCACACTGCTTCAAAAAAGAAAAAAAAACAAAACTGCTTATCTGAAAGATCACAAATGTATTTTTGGAAAATGTAGCAATTTCTTTCAATGAAAAAAAAAGTTATTTCTACTAAAGTCCCTTATTCTCAATGCCAATGTTTCTAATATCTAAAATGTAAAGATGTTTATAAGACCACAAACTTGCTATTGCAGATTCACAAGGTTAAGAGTTCAAAAACTGTATGACAAGAGGATTTTCATTATATAATTGTACTATTGAGGCACTAATGCTCAGGAACACTATTAACAAATTAATGCTCAGGAATACAATGTCTCTCATACTCGATTACCAACAAAGCATTCAGAAAATTATAATTTTAATTACAAAATTAAACATTTTTCTTTAATAGGGTTAAAATATTTTAAATAAGCAAATCCAATTTCACAAAAAATAATTAATTTCATTGATCTTGGGTTTACTGGGCACTTTGGTCTTTGCCACCTCCACCGCTGTACTGTAGCAGGCTATTTTTATAACCTATTGTAAGAGAGTTAACTCTGAGAGATAATCAAAATTAGTTGTATAACATTAAAAGCTGATTGTAGACTAACATTATAAAATGAAAAATAAAAGGTATATAATGCTTTAAAGAGATTCAAATACCTACACTGGCATTTACAAACGGATAGAAAATTTAACTCTACAAGATTTTTTACTTATTAATACAACATATGGGACCTGCTCTTTCAAGAACTCTTGAACGACTCAAAATTGCTTTTAAAATACACGTTTCAGAAGAACATGGAGTAAGAATATAATGTTTACATCACAATTTAATGATTAAGATATGCAAGTATTAATAAATAGCTACATGAGTAACACACCGGCCAGTGTTACTTCACGGAAGCCAGAGGTTCACAAATCAGTACATCTGAATACTAAATAAATATTTTGATTGGCGACAAACGCAAAAATAAACGCATTTGCAAGCGGTAATAAACGGAACATCGCGAACCTTGCTGGTTAAGTCTCAAATTCCACCCACGGTATTAAAAAAATACACTCTATGCCAGTTACAAGTTGTAGCAGAGTATATCGGGCTTGATATCGTGATGCGTACTGATGCGTACAAATGAATATAGATTAGCTCTGAATAAAAACAAAAACGGATTCATTCGTGAAACATATCAGCATGCATAACAGTGAGAAAGTATAACCATGTGTGCATGTATATATCGGTTTTATGACGTGACGCGTCAGGGTATTCACTCACATTGGAATATGTCACCATAGAGTAATGATATAAGGTACCTCTTATTCTATGATCTCACGGCATTTCGCGCCTTTCTCGGACGCGCCGCTATATGTATGATTGCGACTTTAACAAGATTCATCCATAGTAACAAGCAGTGCAATGTATCTAGCGACACAACCAAGAAGATCACGAAAATGTCGTGATATACTCGTGAAAGTAGGCACTGACGCGCAACGTCATAAAAACCGAAGTATAAATCTAGCAAATAGCATTAACACTGTGTTGTGCTGAAACGTATATAACCCCAGGCGAAGCGCCACAATCGCCAAAACCCGCAATTTTCAAAATTTTCTTTAGCAAAATAAATGAAAAAAATATTCTAATTGGTCTCGTTAAAATTAGGCAACCAATACAAAATCAATTTTTTTAAGTATTTAAAGTTTCTTGTATTTTAGAAAGTCGGTAGTATTGTACAGCTGAAGAAATTAACAAAAATACACACATTTTAAAACCACTGTTATTTGTTTTACATTATTTTAATTCTACAGTATTTTTATTATTACAAACCCAAAAGAAAATACATTACATAGCATTATAGTATTATTAAAAAATGAAAATAATTAAAATCCTACCTAAAAGGAAATAATTAATTTACATTATGATACCAAGAACCTAGTGTATGATATGCAATGGGATCTTTCAATATGTGATGGGAAACGTTTATTCGAAACACAAGTTGGTACCTTGAGAAAGAAGTTACGTCTTGTGAAAATATCTCAGCAATTTTTTAATGATATGATATTCCTTAATCCAAAATAAAATATACAAAAATAAATAGATTTCAATTTGCTTATTCTCTTTTAGGTGGCAAAAACATTTGACAATTGAAAATACATATTTTTGTGAGCAAAAGCCGCATATTTTAAAGATTTCTGGGCAGAGTTCACATTTTTGTGGCAAATTGGCAGGCATGGTTTACGGCTAAAACTGGTATAACTTGCCTGCTATAGTGATAACTTATCAAAAGTATCGAAACTATTTGACAACATATTGAGAAAAAGAAGTAAATGAATGCACAGATATATTCATTGGTGTAGAACAAAATATATTCAGAAAGGAAAGGGCACAAAATATACCGCATTCACTATATATAAATATATATTTTATATTAAAACAAAACAAATATATTTAAATAAATTTACCAACCTTCCTACTATTTATGATTTCAAAAAGGATAATAGAATAAGCAAAGAAATGAAGTAGAAAACAGAGAAAGAAGAGATAGGTAGGATAATTTGATAATTGGGGGACACAAATCAGTAAAGACTGGATTCTCGTGTCATTGTATCATTTCATTGCTAACTTGAAATAGGACTTGATTGAAATTTGAATCATGAAACGGACGTTATTGTAGTACTTGTCTTATTTTGCACGAATTTTTGCCATACGCATTTTGCACGAAATTTGCACATACGTTTTGGGTAATGCTACCTGAAAATTGCTTATTTTGAGGTTTTGCTGGACGAATTTGTAAGATTCATAATTATTATAATATTTATAGTAATTATTTTATTATGAACTTTTTAATTTAATTTTTTTTAAAGTTTCATTTAAGGAAAAAAGTACGACTTATCTAAGCAGTGCATTGAGATGGTCTGTAAAACCAGAGCGCCATTTAATATGAATTAATTCCGCATTTTGTTTCCTATCATATGTACGTTTCATGATATTACTCGCGCAACTTTTCTTGAACGATGACCTTGATCCCCCTCCCTTGTGCAATAAACAGTTGAAGGCAAAAGCTCGCAGCGGGCACTGATGACAACCTTCCAAGCATTAAAACTTCGTTGGCGCGAAACAGAAGCTAGTCAATGACAGTTGTTTCATAGTGCAGAAACCCTGTTCAGATTTATTGTAAATATCGAAAGAAATGGCAGAGTCAGGTCTAGGTCCTTCAAAGGAGTCAACAAAAACTCCCGAAAAAGTTAAGCACAAGATACAGTTTTGACTTTCATTTCTCAGACGTTGGCATTACTTAAAATATTCTAGTGGCCGACTTTGTAACTAATACCCCCACTCCACCCGAAATCGTCAATCCATCGTTCAAGAAAAGTTGCCCGAGTAATACCTATTGTCTAATGGAAATTTTTGAGGAATTGCAGTTCGGAGTGGGGATACACGGTGTTCGCGCGAATTCGGCCCGCAGTTCTTCGTGGCGGCCGTTCTACTAACCAACCAACCAATGTTCCGAGATCATGTATCCGTTTCGTCGGTATTCGCTGAACTAAGTAACACGAGACAGCATGCGCGACTCAGTTTGACCTTACGACCTGGCGGGCAGCCTTGTCGTAAGCTGCACTGCGTGCCCAATTCATCGAAATTATCAGAACGG